AAATGTTTATGAAGAGAATTAGTACAATTTGCTTGTTCAAGAGAATTAGAGCACTTGTTCAACGTGTTTGTTAAAAATGGCTCTGTTTACACAACTAGATCGAAAATGTTTGTGAATACAATCATTTTCATTTAGTTATTCAAGAGAATCAAGGCACTTGTTCATTGTGTTTGTTAAAAATATCTCTCGTTTGCATAATATATGCCATTTATAATCTTTAACAAGCAACACAATTAGTGTCATTTGTTTGTTTAAGAGAATCGAGTACCATTTGCTTATTCAAGAGATACAAAAGCCATTTGCTTGTTTAATAAATACAAAAGTTTTTCTTGTTCAATAGCTATTAGAAGCCTCTTTCAAAAATTGGTTTATTTCTACTAACAAATGCCGCATTTCATTCTAAATATAGCTTTAGTTTACATTTCACGAAACCAAGTTTCACGATTTTTTTCAAACCCATAGCATTACAATCATAATGACACACATCATATAAAAAAATTTAAGAAAAAGATATATTCTACCCCTAAACAACATTAAATCACCACAAATCAACTTCAAATCTTCAATCTCCGGTAGTAACAACTCTTTCTCTTTCATTTTTTTAAAGCATTATTCTCAACTTTGACAGCTTTTTTTTCAATCAATAATTCTTCATTTCTCATTCCTAATTTATGAATTCTCATTTTTTAACTTAGAAATCACCTTATTCAATCTCAAATTCTTTGAAACCAACTTATAATTATTGTCTTATAGTGATATGTATTTCTCTTTGCCAATTTTGCAAGTCCAAAACAATTCATTTGGCTCTCCAATCTAAATCATCCTCAAATCACACTTTAAAATTACAACCAATATCTTCTTTTCCTTTTATATTGAATCGAAGTTGGCAAACATTAAACTTGACACCTAGGTATTTATCACTTTAAGACAATATCTTTACTATTTTCATCCCACATAAACACATAATTGATGATTTTTCATAACATGATCGTAATTCTTGATCAATAATTGCAAATATTGATAGTTGTGATACATCCGAAAATCTAGATGATGGAGATGATGTGGATGAAATGATTATATCTTCCTGGATTGCGAGAAGACACTACAAAAGACAAACAAAGGTTGAAATTAGGGATTTTGCAATTTAAGGATTCGGAAAAAGCATAATTTTTGTTGGTTTAATGAGATTTAGAGTTGTTCGAGAATTTAAAGATTATGAAATTTAGGGATTTTGAAACAAAGTAAATAGGAAAAACGAGGCAATTGCGTTTGCTAGACAAAAGCTCAAAAATTAAAAAAAGAAATTAGGAGTTTGGGATTTAAGAATTCAACAAAAGCATGGTTTGTGTTGGGTTGATGAGATTTAGGGTTGTTTAGAGATTTAAAGATTTTAGGATTTAGGAATTCGAAAAAAAGAAAAAAGAAAAATGGGAGAATTGAGTTTGCCGGACAAGAGCTAAAAAATACAAAAATAAAAATAAAATAAAATAAAATAATATAAATTTGGGATTAGGTGCTATACCATGCATGGAGGCATTTTCATCCTTTTATTTTCATCTTAATATACTAAACATTAGTTTAATATATAAATCTTTTTAAATTTATTAGTTTTTAGTTTCGGACTTATAATCTCACAATTGAGAGTCGCATTTTTGCGTGTCGGTTCTTGATTAGTTACTATCATTTTAACTCGTCACGTTGGCTTCACATTTAATAGAGGGTTTTAATCGATAAATTTATAAGAGTAGAAGATTTCAATCAAACTAAAAAATTGTATTGGGTCTCAATAAAAAAATTAAAACTATACGAGAGATCAATTGTAGGATAAACCATAAACTCAATTCTATTTAATAGATAAAAGAGTATTACTATTAAAATATTCATTAGAATTTATTATAGATTTTTTTTAAGTATTTCTATTCTATATTGATAAAAAAATCCATGTAGAGATTAGCTGTAACCTGGGTAACCAGTAGTTATATTAATATTCATTAGAGTTTATATTATAGATTTTAGTAAAGAAGTTGAAGTTTCTCGAGGCACTTATAGCGGACAGCACCTGAACAAGTTGTAACTGCGCTGGCCCAACCACTAGCTGTATTAATGTAACTTAGGAAATTGAATTCTTCTATTCAAAAAACTTACTGGACGCACGATCTGTTTTAACTCTAAATCATTATTAGCAAAACACTAAATACATAAAGGAGGGACGAAAACTGGAGCAGAGAATCTTTAGTACAAAAGACTTTATTTTTCCAAATAGAAAGTCCTCGTAGAGCTAGTGGCAGAAAATGTTGGGCTACATTCTGGTCTATGTGTCACGCTATATAATACGTGCCTCAATTGTCGCCACGTATACACCGTCCTAGGAAAAAAAAAAGAAAGAAAAACCTTTTCTCTGTTCCGTCGTCCGTCAACCCAACAGCAGACCGTACACAAAAAAGAAACCCTCACTGAAAATCCACTCTTTTCTCTTTGCTTTTACATATAAATTTTGAACCATCTTTCCCGCATGTCCATTAGTTAACATCTCTAATCCCTTAAAAATACATCGTTTTTTTTTTATCAAAATTAAAAAAAATTTATTTCTCTTATCTTTTCTTTTGTATTGTTGACGAGAAACTCGGATATCAAATATAATATGACTTGAAGGATTCTTAAGTCCGATCGGATAATTTGTAAATAAATATATAAAAAAATCAAATCTTTTTGCTAACGGTCCACATTGCGGGTTCTAGGAAATTATTATCCTCCCGAACGTCATTTTACAATCGGGTAAAGCCGTTTAATTAAGTTAATTAAGCAAGAGATGGCGAGGGAAGAGTTGAATGCACGCTCCGTGGTCGAGATTGGGATAGGAAGAGGAAAACGAAAGACATGTGGGCACAGAAAACAGCGAGGGATAGGATAGAGAGACGGTGACATGTCCTAAGCACAAAAAGTAAAAGACCGTTTGGTCCTGTGATTCTGTTCACTGTTTCATTTCGGTTTTAACCCTTTCACCTCACTTCGCCGCTCTTTGATGAAAAAATAACCGTACTAAATCACGAAAAAAGAAAAAGAAAAAAGAAGAAGAAGAAGAAGAAGAAGAAGAAACAATGCTTGGTGCTCTAATTTCTTGTTTTGAAGTGACCTATGTCAGTCTATCTATCATTTCAAGAATTTATTATTTATTTATTTATTACTCTTTAGGTATTTGTAAATGAATTTGGAGATATTAATCATATTTAGAATCAAAATGATAAAAAATTTACATCTTTCAGTAAATACAGATTTAAAATTCAAACTTTACATATTCCTAAAAAATTCACCGCGGAATCATTTCCCTGCTTACCCTTGGGCAAAAAAAATTGCTGATAAAAAATGCTATTCTTAACTGTATAAAATAATATAAAATACCGTTAGTTTATTTTTTCGGTTGTATTATTATTTTAATATATTACTTACATTATCTACATGCAACAAAAAGTCAAAAACGACAATGTTGGGGAAAAAAATGTCTTTTAGTCCCCTCATTGATGTAGGGAAAATACTTTTAGGTAACTGCAAGGAAGATTTGTTGATGAAATGAAGTAGCCAATTTTGGGTAATTGAGCTAAAAGTTTGATGAAGTTGACTTCAATGTGGGCATTCGTGGAAGATAGAGGGAGGAAACTGGGACAGTGGCACGTTGACCTTATTTTTGCAAGGTTTTATTGAACGAACGTGTTGGCTATTATTGTGTAAGGGTGCATTTTGGAAATAGAAGTTATTAGATATATCTCTTTCATAAATTTCTTGCTTCTGGCAATCTCGGGCAAGCTGACCAAATAAGTTGCACCTTGTTGTACAAAAACAAGTGGCTAGCAAAAGTTGAGGCTACCAAGTACCAATGCATCAACTTTGACTCCCAACTTAAAGTAAGATAGGGTGCTAACATAAGGAGATTGCCTCTAAAAGTTTGAACACTCTTGTCATCCTACATTTCTAAGTGACTATACACCCATAAGCTAGAGAGTTGTCATTTCAATTTGAAAAAAAAAAAAAAGAGTAATATTTAGGCAATTTAAGGGTTTTTTTTTTTTTTTTTTTTTTACTAAATGACACTTCCTAATTAATTAGATCGTAAAAGAAAACAGAATAGTAATGTGATAAAATTATAATGACAAATAGATAAAATTGTTTCCATTAACGTAGTATTAAGTAGCTTGAAAAAAATAGCTTTCAATAGCATTTGCTTGATGGTTTTTTTTTCCTGCTTCAACTTAATGGGAACGTGAAGAAAGTAGAAACTCCCGCTCCCGCGGCAATATAAAATTTCAAACACGTGAATTGTATTTTATTTTTTAAATTTCTTAATAGTGTGCAAGTTTTAGGGTTTATAATTGTTTTTTATTATATTATTTACTTGATGTAAATAAAATTGTGGCTCTCGTTAAAGATTTTTTTTCTTACTATTTGATGATTTTAAGTATCTATTAATTAATTTTTAATATTTTTCATGATATTCCTGATAGGGGCAAGTTTGCCCATAGAAAGAAAATAGGGAGTACCACTACATTTCTGGCTTGTCGTGTTGGAGACTGATAGGGGCAAGTTTGCCCATAGAAAGAAAATAGTGGCTGAAGAAAATAGTAAAAATAAAACCTGCATACATGATGACTTCCTGATAGCCATCCTGACACGCCTATAACAAAGCACAAAGCTTGTGTCTTTTACTGTATTTCATTGTTCTGTTTAATTTTCAGCTAGTGTTGACAATAAGTTGATCAGAACAAGTTACTTTTCTTTTTCAGTAAAATCATTAGCATCAACAGAAAAAGAAGCTTCATAGAAATCAGAAGTTCTAGCCCTTTTATTATTACATTTTTAATGAGTGTGCATCACATTCCCACGTCTTTTACCATCTGTCCAGAGAAGTATAGGGAAAAAAAAACATTAAGAAGTGACTGTTCATTCTCCTATCTACTTTTGGTGTAAGATATTTTCCTTGATTTCAATTATGCTTTTTTTTTTTTTTTTTACAAATGAATTGTCAGCAAATTAGACCTATAAACAGCTCCTGGACTGGGCGATGGCATCCTGCAAAAATTATAAAGAAAAATTAGCTTAAGGAACTGAGATGTTTGTAGTTCTGTTTGGAAGTTTGCAGACTGATGGTATAGAAAATTTTAGTAAAGTAGTACAACATCATGAACAGATTAGCTTTTGTTACCTTATTAACATGATGAGCACATGCTTTTTTTGAGCTACCAATGGTTGTATTTGCCTGTTAGGGCTTGATGATGATAAAACTATACAAGCCGCAATGTTGTGGAGTAGGAGGTTATGGACAACAAAATACAAAATCTCCACCTATTAAGATGAGGAAAAAAGGCATCGAAAATATTAGCCTAATAAATTGAGGAACAAGTACAGCCAAACTGGGATTGGGAACGAAAGCGAAGGACCAACCTCCATTTGGATTGTAGGCAACAGAATGTCTCTATCACTTCCAAGGCGGAGATTCATAGAAGAGCAGTGCCCCACCTGCAGCAAAATAAGGAACCAATAAGAACAAGAGCTCCTTTTCAACCAAAAACTATAGTTCAAAAGAAGACAAGATCTACAAAAATGCTTTCAAGAGTTATGCGCGGTACATACTCTATTCATTTAGGTTGGATTCAACTAATCCATGTTTTTATAGGGAAATATCAGCTTTCGGTTTGTCCTAGAGATTACTATCTTTAATAAATTGAACGGTAGCAGATAGCAGATAGTCTCCTAATAATCGCACATTTTCAATTTAACATCAGAACCTTTGCATTCTTTTCAAATGGACAACACATAAACTTACCTCTGGCTAACTGAGGATGACCTTAAGGTGATACAAAACACAGTAGCAATGCCGGTGAGTTGCATATCCATCCTCAAAAGAAATTGAGTTCAGTGTACCCATGTGAGTGTGGCAACAGCTCTTCTACCTCAATTCTAGAATTGGAACAATTCATGCTTTTCTTGATTCGGCTACGATTAATAGACTCAACCTCGACTAAAAATACACCATAAACTGGTCTATGATCTGAGAACCTTGACTCCCCACGTACATAAGATAACTGATTGAGGCCTCTTCCATACCACAATATTCGATCACACCTATATTTGTATATAGCCTGATTATTTTGAATGTCAGAAAATTAAAGCATATTCCATTCACATATCCCATGAAGATGTTACACGGTTTTTATTTAAATTTTCTCTGTACCAAAGAAAAAAAGATTGTTTTCTCACAATTTTCTTTAAAAGAAAATTCTGTCCCTTTTTTTTTTTATTATCGTTATTGAGAAGAAAAAAATGGATATTACCATGCAGGAGTCCTTCGTTTCGCCTTCGGGTGCCTATCATCCCCAGCATATCTATCTGAGTTATTGGAATACTTGTATGTGGGAGGAAAATATATCCTCCCTTCATTCCATCCATCAAAGACTCGCCCTCGTCTCTGCTCTATCCGAAGCTGAAAGTAAGAATCATCAAAGAGGTCACATTGTGCAGGTCTCAATGTAGTACCACAAAACCCTTTGCAAGTTGGAAATGGAAAAACACATAAATGCATGTGAATCAGAGCAATATTTAAAATTTAGGCGACATGCCTGGTCATTCTCTAACAATGCCCTCCAGTTATGCATCTCAACAAGAGTTTTCACAGCACGATAAGACAAGGCAATTCGATAATTCAAATCACCTAGCCAAATAATCCGACTGCCAAGACAACGAAGATTTAGACACAGTATTTTGATGTGTTCGGAATAAAGAGTAAATGTCTAGGAAAATGAACAGACGATCAATAATGCCTTACTCATGCTCTAGAATTGTTTGAGGGGAGTTTTCATCTCCCCTGTTATGAACTCTAGGAAACCTAGTCTTCCTAAGGATCTCCAAAACATCAGAGTTTCTCCGCAGCTCGTCTCCCTCCTTCTGCCCTGATGTCAAATGACTACAGATGAAGCAAAAGCTTGTTTGGTGCAATGACATGCTAATTGAAATCGAGCCCTGAAAAACCCAAGAGAATAAGAATGCAACTTCTTCCTAGTTCATCACAATTTTTCTCTCAAAATTCATAGGAAGGAAAATGTACCTTGTTTCCAAGATAACCCATCAATCCTCTACCTACGCAAGACACTTTAAGGTTGCGAACATCATCTCTGAGATCGCTCTTTACCCATACTGTTAAAAATATCCCAACCATTTGTTTACTGGCCACCAAACAGTACCTTGACTGTCCTGTTTGTCTATCTCTATCCTCCATTGACAAGGATCCACTGTAATCGATTGGCGAGTATTGAGTAGCACCTGGTGAATCCCCTGGTCCATTCTCATCATCAGAGGAACCCCATTTGAAATTAGGATCATAATCACTCGGTCTGTTCCCAAAGATAACCCTGTCACAGATGCTAAAACGTCGATCGAGTCTAGGTTGTGGCATCGCCATGTCACCATCCATTCTCATGCTGCGGCTCAGGGACTGAAAGGAACGGCGATGGAAGAAAGATGAGGCTTTCTGCCTTGATCCCTCAAAGTCTGCATCCAATTCTACAATTGGATCAGAGACTGGTGAAGGAGTATGGTAACCCCAACTGGTGCCAGGAAGACTATTTAGAGTCTTCCTAATAAGAGCTAGCCATTTTTTGGCTGGTCCGTTGTCTTCAGTGCCCAAAACATTCCCAGCATTCAAAGGCACAATTTCTTGGAATCTGAAACCAATGAGATCAAATCGATTAGCTTAGTCTTACAACAAAGTTGCTTGGCTTAAACAAATGGGGGAAAAAAAAAGAATTGGTTATTTGACAAACCCAAGAACGTAAATATCTGCAGGGGGTGAAGTATGAAGCCAATCCTCAAGGTTCAAATGACTTGGAGGAGACTTTCCAGCTACATTCCATGTTGCTACAAACATCCTGCACTCACACGGTAATTGAAATACAATAAAAAACAACTCTTAGCAAGAATCAAATAGAGGCAACACCATGATTAAGAATTGGCCATACCTGTATTGGTTCACATCTGTAACTTGTGCAGCATCAAGGTCAATTTTGCCTCGCTGAACTCGACCAGAGTACCTCTTGCGCGACCTCTCTGCGCATCAAATTGAGGGGCTTTTAGAGGAATTTTTAAAAATCAAAGGTTCAAGAAATATTAAAAGGTACGACACCCCAATAATTATCAATATTCCCTTTATCAAAACTTTAGAAGTTAAAAGAGTGCTGTGGTCCAGACCAATACTGGGAGGTGTCTGATACTGAACCTGTTTTGCTTTTCTTGATGGTGCATGCTTCTCTCTCTGAGAAGTTGTGCCTCCAATCTTCATCGCCACCTGAAAAAGAAATATGATAAAGTTGTTAAAGCTGTGCTCTTTCCACTGCCAAATGCATCAATCAAATATATTCAAACAGCACAAAAAACAAGTACTATATTCTTTGTTATGAAGAAAAACAAAACATTTTTGAAATTCAGGGGAGGAAAGGAACAAATTGGCAGATCTTGAACTGCAGATGGAAGTAGCAGGACCCCATTAATCCAAAACATTTTTGTTGTAAAAAAACAAATAGTGTGCAGAAGTAGAAATAATGCAAATTATTCAGGGTCTAGAAGAATCCAAATCCAACTCAGTAATGATATAAATGGCCAAGATTCCCCAAATCCAATTAGAAGATAAAAGACCAATAATCACCTCCATAAAGGACATCATCTGCTTCAAATTCCTCAGCTTTGCTCTTCATATTGAACCACTTCTTGACCAGTGTCTTAGGCCATGAAAGCTTCATTAATAACACAGACATAGAGTTGGCAGTTAGAGAGAGCATAAGGGCATTGAAAAAAATTCAAAAGATATCTTTACTGGCATTTTCACGAACCTTGCTCTTCGAGTTCTCATCTCTCATTGTTTCACAAATTCATATAGCTCTCCAGATTATATTGCAATACAGGCAAAATTTAAGTCACTCTTTGTTAAACTATGGCTTGATATTTCTGGGTTTGCTTGGAAATGGAATGTGAATGTTGAAAGAAACGAAATCTCAAGAATTTCAAAGAATCCCGAAACAAGATTTTATTTTTCTTGAACAATCCAAGAACAAGTTGAAGTTCTTGTTTTTCCACATAAAGGCAGAAGTTCAGTGACTAAGACAAAGGAGAAGAAAAGAAAAGACGGGTAACCCTCTGTTTCTTTGGTTAATGAGGAGAAAACAACAGAGTCAACAAAGAAAGTCCCAGCTCCTCAGCATTTTATAGACAGAAAGTGAGTAGTAGCCCAGTTTGGCGTTTTGTTTTCTCTTCCACTTCCTCTTCTATGTCAAAGTCCCAGATAAAAATAAGGAAGAGAAAGAGAAGCAATTAAAACAGAAACCAACAAAAGAAACAAGGAAAGAGAGAGAGAGAGAGGTGATGCGTGGAAATTAGATTATGAGATTCTAATAGTGGAACAAGACAATGTATAGAGTAGGAAGAGAGAGACAGAGAGACAGAGAGAGAGTGTTTTACTCTTCAATGTAACAAAAAAAAAAAAAAAAACCTCGTTCCTTATGGGTAAGACAGGCAAAGTATCGGACTTCAAGAGAGAATAAAGTGCAAGGAGTTTTGGAGAGTTGATGCTTAAGAACCCTCCCTCCTCTCTCTCTCTCTCTCTCTCGATCCTTTTTTAATTTGTTTTACTGACCCCCAAAACACTCCAGGTCCAGGATCAGCCAATTAAGCTTTTAGTTTTGGAACGTGAATGCAAGAACCAATAATAATCAGTCACCTACTCACATTACTAGCGCCCAAGTCACGCCCAAAAAAACTGCTCCTTCTGTTTTTGTGTATTAACAAGGAGCTACTATCCATGCCTTTGGTCAGTAAAGTTAGGTTTCATTTATTCTAACAGATACCTAAGTTAGTACAAATTACTTCATTTGATCTTCTCATAAGAGAAGGTAGTTACAGAAAGAAACAAAGATTAACAGATTGCATGTATTGATAGTTTGTTGAGTTTTAATGTGATCCTTTCTCTCTTTGTCACATTTTTAAACATTTTTTCAAATACAAAATAATATTTGAAGCCTACTTAGTTTGTTAATCTTTTCTAGAGATGTGAGTGGGTATGTCTGCTTTGTTTTGGTGAGGGTGTGTTGTGTGTTTTAGGGGATTTTCTATTGGTTTGGGCTGTTCCTCCAATGTAGATTTTTGGAATTTGAGTATTTAGGCATGTAGGTTTTTGGTATAGGGGAAGAAATGTTTGCTTCTTTCTCCCATGTATGTGTAAATTTTTGGGTTTGGGAGATTTTTATGCATAGGGTTTAGCTTTACAAGCAATGTATCTCCTAAAAAAATCTTCTCTATTGCTTTTTAGCAGTCCATGTGCTGGTCTGCCATGGTAATTTTGAGGCTCTTTTTGACTCAATCTAGACTTGTGTCCAAGAGAAACAAGGCAATTGTGCTAATTTGAGGCTTTTTATTTCTTCTAATCTTATGTCTTTTAAAGTATAAACTGGTTTACATGCATGGGTTAAAGCAAAGTTTTGTGCTTTTTGGAGCCCCCTAATGCGAGAATTATATTTGTTTACATAGATGTAGGATCTTGTTAGGGCATTAAGGGTTCATCAAGGGTCCCCCCCATCTCTAGTTCAACTCACTCGAAACTAGCCGACGAGATCTCCTAGGGTTATGTGCGAACTATATATGTTAAGCTAGTTTAGACCTAGCCAGCCAGAACAAAGTAATTTCTTGGTTTAAGCTCTCCAGGCATGATTTTCTTAATTGACTAATCCTTAATCCCACATGCTACATGTGGGAGACTGTGTCTGCATCTGAGTACCCTTTAGCTAAGTTTTAAATTTCTTTCATTATTTCAATGCTCTTAGCAATCAAGTAATGTGCTAGTTTTAGTTTATGTGTTCAAGGATCGATATTAAACTAATGGTCTTGTAGAGTTCTTTTTTTTTTTTTTTTTTTAAAAGTCCTAATAGAGTTGACGGCAGTACCATCCAAGCAACAAAACAAGTCGTCCAATCTCAAAATTTAGAATCCCTAACTATTTTATACAGCCCCACCACACTAGTGAAGCTTCCACTAACAGCATAGCCATTTTGGTTCCGATAATAGATTGTCGTCCAAGATTGTCTTGACTCATAGTTGTCCAGCAAAACTCCCTCTCTTGTATGAACGTGTCAACCCATTATCAGGTAGACAGGAGGATAATCCATTCTGTTCGTTGGAAGTGCTTAATCATGCTTGATTTTTAGATTTGGTGGTTGGAAATGGTGCTTTACATTCTATGAATCTGTAACAATATGCTCTTGTTTGCTTCTTTTAACGAAGAAGATGTCTAAGGAATAATTTTAGTATTAAGTAGCAATTAAATCAAAAAGGGAGCTTAACTTTATTGTTATAATAACAGATTTAAGATTAAAAAACACGATGAAGCTATTGGACATCCAAGGATGAGAATTGATAGGGCGGTCCAATAGGGTTCCTACGGCTACTAGTTCCGAACCAGAGGGGAGGACAAAGGAATTCATTTTTGTACGTAAAAATGTTCTGGGGTTTCTGTCCTCGAGCACTTACACTTACTGCATAAATTAACACACTCTCTCTAGGTGACGACGGTAGGACCATTAATTTTGACAGGTCCTGGTCTCCATGGCAAATCTCCCCCACTGTTGTGCATCGGATGTAAATAAAGGAAGACCCCTGGATCTATCTTAAAGACTATTGGGTCCCTTTTTTTTAAATGCTCATCTAGAGGGCAGGAGGGGATTCTTGTCTCGCAACTTGAAGATCTTTCTTCGTTTTTCTTTTTAAGATTTTTTTTTTTTTTTTTCGGATTATAAACCTTCTTCATTAAAATGGTGTCTAAGAGGCCACCATATATATGCTTGGATTCAATAAAGATATGATTGAATTTATGATTCCTCCAATATTTCTTTCATGACTTGCACCTTATCCCCTACCAAATTGCCACGTGGGAGGTAAACAGCAGCCGTCAGATTATTAACATTAATGGATCTAAGCCCTATCCTATTACAACAAATTTGATTGTCATTAGTTGCAGCACATGAACCATCTCTTTTCCTCTTCACCTGTCATACTTTAGGTCTCTATTTCTTCTTCAATAATGGGTTTATGGTCCACCATCCATAACTTTTGGAGCTTTATTATTCATCCAAACAACAATTGCAAGAAGCTGACATTAATTTTCTTTTTTAAATAATTGGTTTTGCTCCCAACAGCAATTTATTTGTTTGTTTGTTTGTGTTTTTTTTTTTTAATATATATATATATATACACCTCGTGTTTTATATGGGCGCACTACTGAACTCTGAAGTACATACCGGTAGCTAGCTAGGATATTTTTACTTCCTTTACTATCAAATGTACAAACTAATTCAAAAAAAAAAAAGAAAAAAAAAGACCTATTTCAAAACACCCTGCCCTTGGGTTTTCAAAGTAAACGAAAAAACAGCAAGACATGGGTTAACGAGGCAGTCAAAGGATGATGTTTGATTTCTACTTTGGACAAAGTATCTCCTCTTGGTAGGAATTTGATTTTCCTTTCTGTTTCCTTTTGCTTTTTCAGCTTTAAAAAATACTCAAGCCAACTTCTTTCTCTTATGCAGATTTCATCACAAACTCATTTTAAGGATGGTGTCAATTTGGGCTTTTTAACCTTCCTTGGAATTGGAATAAAATGGGCTTCGTGTCCTGGGTCGTTTTCACTACTACCTGCCGAAAGGGGGTATATTTCCGAACCACAGTTTCTATGGTTTTTATCTGTGTGCCCCAGTGATGTTTATCGGCATGCTATTTGCATCTGATCAGCAACAAAGAGGTCTGGAAATTGAAGGCTGCTTGCCAACCAGCTATCCAACTTTTAACACTTCTTTATTATTATTATTTTTCACGAAAAGTTTGAACGGATCTTAAGTTACAAAATGAAGCAGCACTACCCTCTTAAGATTTGAATTTAAGAGTTACTACTAGAAATTCTAAATTCCAAGTATTAACCGTTCAACAAGCCCTTCTTAGTTGATGTTGACTGTTTGTGTTACTCGACACATTGTATGCTTACACATATGGGCCTTTATGTCAGCCCATGGAAAAAAAATTACATTATTTTGTAGTTTGTACCCTATAATTTTACTATCAGTTCTTCTTTTCTTTATTTTTTTTCTCATCACTTTAATTAGCACCACCAGGCTACCACTACTATCTCCATTATCCAGCCCACCAACTATATTTGTCCAGATGGGAGATTAAGAACCTTTGTCCAGATGGGAGATTAAGAACCGTTTTTGTTAGGTTTCAAACTAATGAACAAAAGTAGAGTCAATAATGGACCTAGTTTCGATTTGAGCTGAATGAAGATTGATGTTCTGCAAGTACGGCAAAGCTTACAAAGGCAAAATGAAAGGGATTGACTTTTACTTGCTGATGTGAAGGGTTTCACCTTGGGTTGAAATTGAGGAGTTGGGGTACTATATGTTTTCCTCCCCTTCCTTTCCTTTGGCCTAAGCAGCCATCTTGTCGCTGTCCTGCCTTTCTTGTTTTCCAAGCTCTTCATGTTGGCCATCAAATCATGAACTGTATCTATATTTTACTAATTATCTTCTTAATTTCCAGTAATATAATTATTGATTATTCATTAGCTACCCTTCTTCCATCTGGCTTGCTCTGGTTTGTTAGTCAACATCCCACCGCGTTTACAGCACAAGAATCCAACACGTATTAACATGTTTGCCCCCATCACACTAACTAATCAAGAGAATGGTAAATAAATTCAAGCAAATAAATCTGCGCAACAACTCTTAATTCCATGCAAGATTAATACTGTGCTCTGTGTAGATACTTTCCTTTTGGAACATGTCAAGTTGGAAGGGCAAAGACTAAGGACCACTCCTAGCAGCATAAATATGATTCCATTTGTTCACTTTACCCTGATTGGCCAAGGAACACTAATTGCAAAACCCTGAAATGATTGGCGAAGAAAATCCAAGAACAAGAGCAGTTCCAATTCAATTAAATTATTGGTTGCTGTATTGAGAATTAGGCGACCAAGCTTTTTTCAATCACAAACTATAAATGCACAAACGTATGGATATATTTTGCAGCAAAGGAAAAGTGGGCGAACCATATTATCGTGGCTCTGCTCACATGGAACAACGTTAATTATTACAATCAAGATACACCTAACCATTTGTCACGACTTGTTTTTGTAGCTCTCTGGCTCTTAAATGTCTTAACAGATAGATCCATATTGTTAGGTTAAACATCAGCTTCCGCTTCCCAACTCTCCATGACCAGTAGCATGTTATGCCTTCACTGTCAAAAGGACATCTGCCATTATCCTGGTTGGTATTAGCAAGTACCAACTCAAATAAATAAAAAGAAAAGAAAGGTAAAACAATCAAACAGTTGCCTTACTCAAGTAGCAGTCGAGTATTCATGCAATACAGTGAACTTGAGGAATTTGTCTGGGTTTTGCAGCTTTGCTTGCAGGGGTGACCGAGAATTTTTGCACGTAACAATTACAGGCGAGCTCGGTATTCATTCTTTGCTGTGGAATATTAAGATTTCAGCGAGATAGAGGTGAAAATTTGGAGGGCCAGTGTAAGATTTGATCCACGACGAGACATGGGCCTGGATATATGGTAAGCTGTAACCTAGGCCTAGCACCATCCAGCACTGCATGTGCTATAAATTGAATGAGCTTTCCATGGTAAGTTGGCTGAACACACTGAGCCACCACCAACATTGAGGATGTGAGGAATAGCAGTTGAAATTTAAGTGGCACAAAACCAAAGATAGCACAACATTCAGCTTTTCATTTGAATCCAGAATTTGGAGATAGCTACATTGAGTGGCCTGCCTACAGCTAAAGAGCAGCTCGAATGCAGCATAAGAAAACAGATCCAATCATTGTTAAACTCTTACCCAAAATTTTCCTGTCTCTCCTAACACAGATAAAGAAATATGTGGGTTTCTCTGAAGAAGATGAGGTATGTCTGAAACAAATGGTTCAATTTCCAAACCATAGTTCCAATTTCCAAAGGTGACAGTAGAAGTGAATAATGCACGAGGTTTTCTTGGCTTGGTAGTAGGTGCCACTCCATTAATGCTTTCCTAAAGGACCACCATCGCTGACCCTTACCGTCACATGAAATCACGTGGCACACGGGACTAGCAGAAATATGGGGTAATCATTAAAAGAAAAAGGAAAAAACAGTTGCGATTTAAGCTATACATGGAGGAAACAAGGACCGCGGTTCCCTGCTTCTCAATTCTCACGGTTCGAAAACCAACCAACAGATAAACACACCCAAAGGCATATGGGCCAAGCTAGACGATACCTCAAACGGTTTTAGGATTGAGTAAATTATTCTCTCACCCATTCGTTTTCAATCAATTGTAGCTTAGTTCCTCAAATTTCAAAAACCTGCAGTTATTTCCTCTACTTTAAATCTCCGTTTATAACTCAATTCTTCTCGGTAATCACCGACAAAAGGCACCTTCAAAAATTCAGTTTATATATTTTGAGCTAAAAATTTTCACATATGCTAATAAAATCCAATTGACTCTAGAAAATAATTTCACTTTTTTTAAAAAATAAAGATGTATTTTTATTTTTATTTTAAACATTAAATATTTATAAAATTGTAAAACAAAAATAAAATTTGGAATGACACCAAATTTTTTTGCTGGCCTTAAAAAATATCACGCACGCCTATATTCTAAGTATGCTTATCAAAATATTTTCATGGACAAATGCATACCTAACTAAAGCTTAAAATAGATTAATTTTGAGAATCACACATGCAAATGTTTCAAGAATATACTAAAAATAAACATATAAATGCATATATTCTTTTAGGGTCCCAAAAAATTTGAGATCATTCCAAATTATTTTTTATTTTTCATAATTTTGTAAACATTTAATTTAAAAAAAAATTAAAAAAATACTTCTTAATCTCAAACAACTTTGAAATTATTTTTGAAAATAGATTGGATTTTTATTACCATATGTGAAAATTTCGACTCAAAATATTAAAAATTGAATTTTTAAAAGAGATTTTGGTCAACGGTAACGGAGAATTAATGATGCACGGCCAAAATGGACTAACTTATAACCGAAGAATTAAAGTGAAGGATGTAACAATAGGTTTTTGAAAGCTGAAGGGCTAAATTACAATTGCAATGAAAACTGAGGGATGAAAGAATGATTTACTCTATAGGCTTATAGCCGTGGATAACTAGTAAAACAAATGGTTTGGTTGACACTATAATCAGATATTACGAGGGCCCAGCAAACCAAACTCCATTTTGATGTTCATATCATCAGACAAAAATGTACACTGTGGCTATATAGTTGTGAGGAACAGTCAGGTAAGACCTGGTAGAACAGTAGCACTGCAAAACGCCCCGTAACTTTTACACAAAGCAAAGGTTGTTTGGTTACCCAATCACAAAACCTTTAAAGAATGTAGTCCACGATAGGATATATCGCATTTGTCCTGTAAATGACCAGCTAAAGCTCATAGTTCCCACCAATCACCAGCTCCAAAAATAAAGAATATCACATGTACTGATAATCATTTGACTGGATGCCTCAATTCTTCTAACGCTAATTTGCCATGAAAATGAACCTATCGAACCCCTGGCTAGACATGAAAACTTGTTTCATACATCACAACTTGCAGGTCAATGCACATGCATAAGAATGCAGCAGCAAATATAGATTTTGCCATAACATTGATCACTTAAACGGACACCTCTTCCTCTTACCTAATATGGAACAAATAGTAAAAAGTTCATCCAATCATGGTGCGCTTTCGACCCCTTTGCCGAACTGTAATAGGTTGAAAACAATAACAAAACGAGAATACTACAAGTCAAAAGAAGAAGAAAAGAAGGAATAAGTAGAAAATTGATCAATTAGGAGCCGTGGGTGTGTGAGTTAAAAAAAAAAAAAAATTAGGAGAGCAGGGTTGCACCTTGAGCAAGCTTGTTCAATATAGATGACCACTGCTTTGAGGACTTCCTGTACCCAGCAAGTATGCAATCCATCTGTGCAAGAAAGTAGATCACAAGAATGTAGATCATGAGCAAAGTTCTATTTTGCAGGTTCCTGTTCAGTTCCATTTTAACTTCAAAAACAGTAAAAGACAACCTATCAGAATGCACTTTCAGAAAACCAACATTTTTGCAGTTGCTTTAAAAAATTAATTATGACAATTTTGTAGAAACCAGGTTCCCTTCTGTATTTCTATTCCAGTACTAATTAAAAAGGTTAAACTCATTCAAAATTCTAAATAGTTTTACTGTTTCATTATTGATGTATTTAAACTCAATGGCAAATTCTCAAATAGTTTTGCTCTTCTATTCTCAATTTATTTAAAACTCCTTTCCTTTGCATCTTGTCAGCAATCTAAATAGCACATAGGACATTAGGATATGATAAAAAGTTTAGTCTTAGCTCACCACATTCCCACATGAAGAATGCATTGAAAGTAAAGCTCGTTCCAGCACATATAAATCAACAGCTTTGTATTCAGGAAGGGTTGATGTGAAGCTCAGGCCAAAATCAATAAGGACCTACGAGAAGATAGTTCTGGTTGTGATGCAGAGATAAACAATCAAGGATACAATAAGAGAAAACAAGGATTCCTTTGCCCCACTGTAACAGATAAAATAACTTACCAATTGATTGGTACCAGTCCGAATGAGCATATTTGATGTGGTCAAATCACCATGAATAAGACCACCATCATGTAGTTTTCCAACTGAAATGCCAATCTGCATTGCAATGTCATCCAATCGTTCTTGCACAACACCATGTAATCCGAATTCAAGGAAGACATCTTTCACAGAAGGACCCTCAACATACTCAAATGTTAAAGCATGCAGAAGTGGATCCACTGCATACAACACAGGTGTTGACACCCCCAGTCGTCTTGCCTTTGTCATGCATCTAGCTTCCTGCTCCAAAGTTTACAGAAAACATTCAACGCAAGAAGCAAAACTTGCTTCAACAATTTCTAGATAAAACCAGTGAAAAGAGACCTTACAATAAATAACTCACCGCATTTAAACGCTTGAGAGTAAGTTTAGAATCCAGAGTTGGATGCCTATACTTCTTTGAGAAACGTTCCTTGATAATAGACCTCCTTCCAACAAAGTTTGACTCAAAAACCCTCTGAAAGAGAACAACCAAACAAGCATAAGCAATAGCATGCAATATCTTTCCTGAGTAGGATGTGTTAAAATTGAAAAACTAACACGACATCCTTAATAACCTTTTAGTCCAGCAACTGAATGTGCTGTGTGGGTCCAGTCAGAATGAACGGGAATGCAATATCATGTTGTCTCAAGACTCTTATGAGTAAGAATGTTAAAACTGAACTCACCGCTTCAGCTCCTTGCTTGATCAGAACAAGGGAGCTATCTTTGACCTCTGCATCTATCTCCATAATCCTCTGTTGCACCCGAATTTTGCCACATATAGATAAATTAGTAACAATTAATCTGCTACCAACAAGTAAAAGAAAAGTACTATTAACTGAATCACAACCCACTAAAATGCCATCTTTGAGTTTTTAGTCTTTTAAGTTGTTCCCTTTTTTTTCTCTTCCAGCCTTGCAAATATCATGAATGAACCTAATTTAAGGTCAAATCGAAAGCTCCCAAAGTTTAAAAAGGAAAAGCAATTGCATCTCTTAAAGCAAAAAAGAGAGAAAATGGTAAAATTGAATTCCTTGCATGAATGAATAGAAGAACTAGTATGTTATAGAGGAGAGGAAAGGTTACCTTTGTACTGCAAAATCCGCCGCCGCCAAGGATCCAGAGAGAGACACAGACACTGCCTACAGTTTAACCCTCTCGCTTCAACCTTCCTCCTTTCCTTTCTCTCCAATTTTCCTGGCGCAAGTTGGAGTCTCCCGCTCAACACGATACCGTTCCCTATATGAAAGTAAGACAACAGAAGGGGCGTTTTCGTAAGTACACGAAAAAGTGATAAACGACGTCGTTTGATGCAGCCTGCCATTGCATAACCCTAATCCCTTCCCAAATCTACTATTTTATTAATTTTGCAAAATTAGATTTAATTAATCAGATGATTAATTTGCCAACTTTGACAAACAGAAACTTTTTTTTTTGAACAAATACAGAATTACAAGCACGCCGCTAATTGCATTGCTAATTACTACTGGTAATTACACGGCGCCACCAACAACATTGTAACAATTACGCGCGAGCCTAATACAGTCCGACCAATGAAAAGCCTCCATGTTAGGATCCCTCTCAACCACAACATCAGACACAGTAACCTGTACCGCACCTCTATATCCTGCAATCCTGCCACGAACTCTAGCTACAACTCCGATTCTAACCTCGGATGCAAAATGAGCAGCCATATCAGAAATTAATTTAAGACTAGCAGGATTACGGCGTGAAAAATAAGGCGAGGTGAGGTGGTTGAGCCAGAGAATGCAAGGGATGCAGCCAGTGCCATCGTCGACTGTGAATTTGAGAAATTTGTTTGGTTTTAGCTCGCGGGAGGTGACGACCCCGAGGATTTCCGTGCGGGAGATGGTGGTGTTTTTGCGAGTGAAGGTGATCGGGTCGGAGGTGGAGAACGTGGGGGTTTGGGTTAGAGAGAGGAGATCAAAGGCTAAGAGTTTTACGTGTGTGTTTTGCAGTCTTTGATCCATCAAAGAAAATGTGTGAAAAATAAAAAGATTTAGCAGATATTTACACAGGTTTTAAAGAGATTAAGAGAAGGGTGTTTTGGTTAATATATTTCGGAGTGGAGGGTGTTTTTGTATACACAAAACGAAGTCGTATGGGACAGCAAAAATAAAATAATCGAGTGGTCTCCTCTACAATATACGAAGAGTAAAGTAAAAACCCTAACCCCTTTCGCCAATCAAAGGTATCTGCAATTTCTACAATGAAGAGACCAATACCGTGGAGCGATAAGGAGGATGATTCTTCATCTGATAAATCGTCGTCTTCGGGTTCAGATTCAGAGAGTGCAGCTGACAAGAAATCGTCGAAACAAAAAAAATCTAAAGGTAATGGATATTTCTTAAACTAACTCACCTATTACGTTATTTAAGAAATATTTACTTTCCTGATAGTCAAATGAAAGCATAATAACGTTAATTAATATGCGATGATTGAATGAAGAAAGAGGAGTAGAGGGATGTGTAACAACTAATTTGTGGTTCCATGAGATAGGCATGTTAAGAATCTTAATGGACAATTTTTGTTTCGTCTGATATTTGTTTCGTTGTTAATTGTTCCATGAGAGTGATCTTAGTGACCATTTTGTTAAGCTCATTTTTGCTAGCAGAAATTATTTGATACCCTATTTTCATTTTTTTCTTTTTAATTCTTGAGGTTTGTTTTGGTTCCTGAAGAAAGTTTTGTTATTACCCAAATGAACAGTCAAGTCTGGAAAGCGTAAGAGTGGTGGTGCTGTGGACTTTGAAGCGTTGAGACAACATGGGTATAAAGGGGGGTTGTCAGTCCTGAGTGTGCCAACACCAAAAGATGACACTAAACCAGACTGGACTTGGTCTACTGGCAAAGAGCGTCGTGAAACCACAGATGTTGAAGAATCATTCGAAGAACGTCAGAAAACAAGAGCTGCATTGAGGGATGGAGAGGAGTTGATGAATGTGCAAACTTCCAAAGAGAAGAGAAATCTGTCATTCCAGCAGAAGGAGAAGAGGAAACGAGAGCTTGGTCAGGCAAGTAGGGGGAAGAATTATGTTGAAGAAGAGAAGAGGTTGTTAAGGGAAAGCGGTGTCTATTCTGGTTTTGATACATGATGATGACTAATGCTTGTGCTAATGCTCCTTGTTATCCAAGGGTCTTGAAGACCTTGTTAATTTAGGGCTCATCCCTCATATTGACACGACACATTTAGAAGAATGCTGGCTTCAGAGTTTGAATCCAAGAAATCAAGGAATAGAGCAAATCTCCTTAACTGCCATATCAACCCCTTCGGGTTGTCTTATGATTGGGCTGTACCCTGTAATTAGAACAATAAAATGTGTTTTAGCGAGTGGTGTTAGATTTTTGTCTGACCGGGATATCAAAGGCTGCATTTTCTTGCCCCTAGCCAAGCTTCCCTTTTGTGCTACTGACCAGAGCTGCTACCTTACTCTTAATCCCGTTTCAGATTATGCTGATAAGCATGCACCCTTAAATTTTCAGTGTTTGTGTTTAGTGTCATTCGAGTAGGTTAGCTTGTGGGTAACTTGCTCGAGAAGGTCACGAATGACTTCGTAGATGTTGTCAATTTGAAAACTATAATATAGTGAAAATGATCAAATAATCCAGATCAAAATAGTGCACAACCTGAGACGATTCTATCAGGGTTTATTAGATAGCGATTTGAAATAACTTAGAATACTGTCTTACAACAATACAGTAAACAAGATTTTAGATCCTCGAATCAGTCTTATAACACTACAAAAACCAAGGCTGTCAATCCTCGGGTCAGAATTCTGTAGGAGTGGCCTTTCAAATACAAGTAGCTCGTTGAATGGAAACCTCATCTTCTGCAAAACTTCAACTCAAACCTTGACATTAAATTTGGTCAGACTCTTCCCTCCATGTCAGGGAAAATTTTCAGACCACGCAAAGCCTTTTTCAGCATCCATGTTTGGGTTTGGAATTGCATTAACCTCTGAAATCAGAATGGTCACTACGAGGATAGAGCAGATCTATTGGAAAGAATACCGTATATGGCTCTGATAGTATTAGGAGTTGTTCTGCAACAGCCTCCAACAAGGGCAGCCCCAATCTCACACCATTTGTTTACATATGATACAAAATCTTGATCCGATACGCCAGTATTTTGCTGCAACATAAAGTGGGTTGTCACAGTTAATTGGCATTGTAAAAAATAGAACCAGCCATGAAGTTGTATGATCCAGACAGAATATTTTTCCAATTAAAGAAAATTATTTCTTTCAAACATAAGGCAAATTTGCTTGCTATTACTTTCGGAACAACTTGAGATTTTTTGCAGGCATCCTTTTCTTGAAATAATATGGATTAATTGATGCATTCGGATATTATTAAAAAACAACATGAAAATTATTCACGTGCTTTCCACAGTGAACAAGATGAGCTTACCACCCATTCCTTTTGATCGCCATCATAACTCTCCCCACTGTTTGGATAAATGAGTATTGGTTTGGTAGTCACCTGATTAAATAATTCATGAAGACAAGAAATTCCCCATTAAGCAAAGTGCCAGACACAAGTTATCTTTAATTTTAATGCTGAAAAATAAATTAAAAACATGAAATCATTCTTATTTTTCAATCCAATGAAAATTTTAACATAAAATAGAAACCATAGAGTCAAGCGGCAGGTGGTATAACTGCTGCTACAATAGAACACCCCCAAAGTCATCTAGTATCAAGTGATGTTAACCAACAGTCATTCATTACCACATTCTTTGTATCCACAGTGCACAGTGGAATATGGCACGAGACCATTGGATGCAAAAAAACCATCAACATCATCTTCTGTCTCTAAAATAACCAAAGAACTTGCCGCGATTGTAAATTCCTAAACTGTGTGGTTGATGTTACTTTACTTCATTCAATTCTTAAATTCAATAGAAGTTCTTTTGAATATTAACTAAAGAAAAATAAATGTTAATTTTTAGTTCAAACAATGTTGCAGAAAATAGGTTATAGTTAATAAATTGACCGAGAAAAATTTAACCCCACTGTAATCATTAACAACTACTTAGGTACAATTTTGTGGACATAGATGGCAAGAGTTACTTTTCAATTCTCCTCGCGTCATAGTTATTTATATGCTAGCATCGGATCAAATAAGTTCATTAACAAAAGGTTTCAATGATCAGTTATTGTACAAATGACATAGCTCTGACTTTACATCTGATAGAGACAAGTTATGAACACCAATAATGAACACTGAAGCTATGTGGCTTAACTGAGAACATTTAAAACTGTCAGCAAAAGAATTGCAGGAACATGAAAAGCATACCTTCTTAATTGACAAAATCAGTCCGTGAATGAACCTAGGAGGTGTGCAGTTGATTCCAACAGCAACTACATTCTTGCATGCTTCGGCAATTGCGGCACATTCAAGCAAAGAGTCACCACTAACCACGTTAATTCCATCCTTGGAATTAAAAGAGAACCATGCAGGAATCTTTTTGTCTTCTTCCTCTAAGAGCTCAGCATAAGCCTGCACAAACACAAGACATGGTCAATGGGAAAATAAGCACAAAAATGAATTTGTACCATCAGTATTAATGCCATTTCCTATTTCCTAGATTTGATTATGACTTTCCTCTAAGAGCAAGAAAATAAGATGATGTGATATGACAAAGGATCAGATCAATACCTGAGCTTCTACTTTATTCGGAACTGTTTCAAATGCTATAAGATCAGCACCTGATTCTGCCAGAATCTGTACCCTTCTGCGATGGAAATCTTTCAAGGTTTCAAGGGTAACTGCATCACCATAATTCCCACTGTAATGGAAAAAAAAAAAAACAATAAGAGATACAAAAATTATAATTAAAAGTTTACTTCCTTTAAAAGGACATGGGACACCCTCATCGAACAAAAGGACATTGAACCACATTCTGATGTCATCAAGCTTAAGATGTGTTTATTAAAGAACTCTTTAAGATTAAGTTTCCACAAGGCTTTCGGAATAAAAATGCATATAACTAAATATATGACTGCTAATTGGTGCTTGATAGTAAACAACATTGTCATACCATCAAGCTTAAGACTATGTTCATTTTCTCAAATCCAATAAAGAATTCCGAAGATTAAGTCTCCAAGAATAAAGTTGCATATAACTAAGAGACACGACTGTCAATTGGTGCTTGATAGTGATACAAATAGATATCTGCTTATGCAGCTCAAGCAATAACTGAATTAGAGGTTGACTCACCTGTACTCAGATCCATCAGCTAAATAAGCTCCATAACTTCCAATAGATGCTGCAACTAAAATGCATCGCTGTTTCAAAACCCTACCATCAGTATCGCCATCTGAAGAACCTTCTCGGCATCTACCATAATAAATATCCCGTGCCTCACAAGCAATTTCCACGCTTTTCCTGAGCAAGGCTTCACTTTCTCCACTAGAGAAACCTTTAGCCTCAAACCCCTGAATGGTGGCCTGTCCACATTCAAACCGAGTGTGTAAGTTCCAAACACACCCAGACACACACACACATGCACACAGAGTTAATTGTCATTACCTGATAAGAAGCCGTGATGATAATATCTGCACCAGCTTCTAGATAGTCAAGGTGTACCTGTTTAGTCAAGAAACCCATTAACCAGGGGAAAGATACCACATCAACATTCCACATGTTTTCATGTATAACTAATAATATATCAAAAAAGATTGCTAAATAACAAAAGACGACAGCAAATCCTTAAATGGCAGTTATTTATCCATTAGCACTCTTGATAACACATGAATCTATATATCAATTGCATTTGCTTTTCCACACTAGTACTTTTACTGCTGGAATCAAGAAAATATTGTTGCCAGTACCAATCAAAGACATTAAAAACCTTCTCCATATCAAGTTAAAGAAAAATAGAACTTGTCTTTATATAGCATTTTTCCTAAGATGGATGCTATTTTGATTTCTGGGAATTAAACTTGTTTTTTATTATGTTAATTTCTTTTCCTTTTTATTTATATGATTGATTATATTTCCCATGCATTAACATTTAGGTGCATATTTTTTTGGGGCTAAACTGAGGAATTCAAGTAAGAACCAAGCAAAAATTTTAGGATACGTCGATAAATAAAATTTTTTGGCATGTCATCTATGAAAGAGGTTGGAAAAAATTGAAATTGATGCTTTATGTACTTAGTGTTTTGTCTTTACGGTTAGCATATTAGTTTCTGAAATAGTAGACAAATCTAGTTGAGATATGTGCATCTACTTCTACTTAGATTGTTCCGAGGAAATACTTTGGCCACCACTGCAAACCAAAAACAAAATAACTAATAATTACAATTGCATGCTTGTCCAAGTTCAACCTCTAATCCATAAATCTGCAGATTTTTAAAATTACTTATGCTTGGAATAAATAGCCAAAACCAGAGTGGTCCAATTTCATTAAAAAAAAAAAAAAAAGAAAAAAAGAAAAACCATTTGTTCGAGGAGAAAGCAGAGTGGTCCAGATTAGATACAGTAAACTATATTAAAATAATCTGAAGTCACTGCCAATTTCCAATCAACACAAAACAGCATAGCTGATTGTAGACAAGTGAGCTAAAAAAACCTGATGAACCACATCTACATGGACAGTCTGTCCATATCCCAACTTTAGCAGTGAATACTATTATTCACACTGCTGAGTTTGTGTACTAAGAGACAACAGACAAATCTATAAAGCTGATCCGAGAAAGACAAACCCACACCCAATCATTGATGGATAGAACAGAAAACAGTCCACATGGCGGTCCATACTCTCCACCAATTTAATTTTATCAATGCCCATCTCTGTTGTAAGAAGCTACTGCCACTCATATACACTCATATTTCCCATTTTGACCTCAACCTCCAGTCTTCCTTCCTTCCCCTCTCTCTCAAAGAGTTTGCATGACATGAATTCTAAATTTCTGTCAGCTAAAATAACACAGATTTTTCCTTATTGTATAAGCCTTGCCGATTTTTTTCAGTCTCTTGTATTATTAAACAAATAATTTAAATTCAAGGGTCTAAAGGCGCCGTTTTGTTTCACGTTTAAAAGAGAAAAGGAAACTCAAAAATTAAATCGAAGACAGCATCAATTTAACAGCAACAGAAACACACTAAAATACACACACACACACACACACATAGAGAGAGAGAGAGAGAGAGAGAGAAGGGGGGTTAAGTACCTTACGAACGAGGTGAGGGGAAGAAAGGAGACACTTGGCACTCCAGAGGGGATCGTTGAGATCAGCGCCGTGTCGTTCGAGCTCGGTTGCGAGACCGCCGTCGATAATGGCGACGCCGCCTGAATGGCGGAGGAAATCAGCCATAAAGGACGAGGTTTCAGCGGCTGGAGGTCCCATCTTAAATCTTGTGTTGTTCCGGTGGAGCGTTTTTGTATTTTTAAAAGCTGTCTAGCAGTTTAAGTGTGTTAGGCGCGGACCGGACAGTACCGCAACAACTCGAAGTCGCGTTACGCTTTGGTTAGATTGGAGTATTTAATACTTATAGAGCACAAAGTTGCGGAATGGACACCCATAGGTTCCGAAAACTTAGCAGTTGTGTGCTTTTTAATTTGCACGTTTACTTTCCAGCCCCTTGTGTTTGTATCCAAACCTTCCAAAATCATTCAATTTAATAATATGATGTGGTAGGTTTTTTTATTGTTGTTATTATATATATATATATATATATGATCATGTGAAATTTTGAAACCTTTTTTTCATGCATTTGAACTTAGTTTACTTTTTCACTTGGATCAAAATTAATTTTTTTGCGTTAACACTCAAAAAAAATTTATCGTGAAAAATTATTGGATTTATCAAGAATTGTGTTCTTCTTTTCTTGTACCATAAAAAATTATTTATGGATTCTACATAAATATTTATGCAAGAAAGAAAAGTATGAGATTTCGATCTTGGTAGCTAAAAAATAAAAATAAAAAATCTCGATTAGTTCCTAAAACAAATTCTTGCTAATACATTTCTCTCTTTCGCATTTCCATCTCCTGAACCAGATCTGAAAGCCATTATTGGTCAGATCTATGATGACCAGTCATAAGTTTCTATGTCCTTAATCCCTGTCTGCGTTTTCTTTTCGGTCTGGTCTTAATAAATAAATTATTTCCTTTCTGTTTTCCTTTCCTTTTAAAATGGCCCGATTCAATACAAGCAGATTTAGCCTGCCCCAGTTAATTTTTTTAGTAAAATAAAGTTCTGAGTCCTAATAATTCTATTTTTTTTTATTAATTATGTAATGTGAAGGTTTATACTCATTGTGTAACCCAAAAAATCCATTGAGTGTCCAATAGATTAAAAAAAAAAAGGCCGATTCATCCGGTCCAAGCCAATTTTTCTCTGAGTTTGATATAATATCATGAACTTTTTGAATGTAAGAATTGGTTTAGCTACCACAAGCACCGATTCGTAGATTATTTTGGATTTTAACTTGAACTAAACAAATTCTTAGCTTTATTTATAGCACACTCGCTATTCTCATGGGTGGTTTCTATCCATATTAATGCCTTCTCAACTTTTTTCATTGTTATAGCTTAGCTATTCTGAATTTTTGCACTCTGCTGTACGTCAAAAGATAAAAGAAAAGTAAAGAAAATCGCCCTACCGACGAGGCCCATCTCCTCTTGTTACATCATTTCAGACACGAATGCAAATGCTGTCCCGCAATAATCATCAATTAATCATCTAAAAACAGAAATTGTTCAAAGAAAATAAATTCATACTAACTCTAATGATCCTAGCTGTATCCTCCTAAGTATGCTCTGCCAAGGCAATATATATAATCACCATAATTACCCACCATTATTTGTCTTACCCATTATCGGGTCACTTTATGAACTCGAATCATAATCAATAAAAAATCTTAATCTCATCTAACCTACACGTAGAAAGATGATAAGAAATTCCCTTTTTACACGAAGGAGTAGGAGACTGGGACTCTTCTTGTGCTACTTTGGTTGCTTATTAGCCTGACTAGTGGCAGCTGATAAGAAATGCCCTTTTTATCAAATTGGAATTTCCCACAAGCATTTATCCCCCTCGACACGTAGTACATCCAAATGGGAAATCTCTGATGCATCCATACACCACAACTTGCTCATCCAATAACATCACCATAAAAGTTTGCATAGGCAAAGATCTCAAATGCTTATCTGAGGTTGGTTTGGTTGCTGCAGCATCCTTTCGATTCTTATCTCATTGGCGAAACTATTTTACAGTACGAATCGTGCTTTAGTTTTCACATAAATTCCGATGATCGCAAGCGATTGTTTTCAAAATATACCTAATTCCACCCTTCATGAGAAACAAAAACTCAAAACTTTTGGTTAGACGTCAAACGCTGTTAAGAGTAAAATAATAATTTAATCCATGTGTTTCTAGAAATATAATATTGTTCCCCTGGTTTTAGAAATCACTAGGTCTAACAAAACAGGTAAATTCTTTTAATTCGATGATTAGTTATAATTTTTTAATTAAAATTTTGTGTTTAAATGCTCTTCGTAATTTTTCTATTAAAAAATATTATTTATTTATCTTTATTCAGATTTTTAACTAAAATGTTAATAATGATTTAAGAAAACAAAATCAATGAATTCAACTAAAAAAATTTCTGAAAAGTCGGGTTTCTTATTTTTTTCTATTAAAAAACATTATTTATTTATCTTTATCAACAAATTTTTTAATTAAAAAAAATTAGAGAAGAGAAAAAAAAAAAAAGCAACGACCCATATGCAGGGGACAGAAAAAAAAATGATTGTTTTCTTTCTCCGACATCCTCTACAATTTCTGACGAGATCAATTTCATAAAAAAAGTTGTTGAAAAGTCGGGTTTCTCAATTTTTGACCTCACACAACTAATTTCAGCTTTATTTTTGTCCAAAACCACATAAATAATGTGAAAAAACTTATTTAAAACCTCAAAATTCATTTCAATATACACCAAATAAATATATAAAAAAAATTTAAAATATTTTGGATTATGATCTATCTCTTCTGACCATTTCATCAACTGTCATCACATCAAACCAATTTTATTATTTGAGACGAACAAAGTGGCAGCAAGTTCGACTGTGGGGGGTGGCTAGAATGGATCTCGTTAGCCTCCCTCTCTCCCTCCCTCTCTCCTCCCTTCTCTTTCCTTCCTTTTCTCACGCTATGTAGGGACCAAAATATAAGAAAAATAAACTTGTTGAATGGAAAATAAGTATTCAAAAAAAAAAACTAAAGTGCAATGCAGCAACAACTTACATATTAAATACCTTTAAAAAATACTTAAAAATTACAGCAATACAATAGTACGGTGAAATGAACGGTGCAAATGAATGTGTTTGAAATAGTGATACTCAATAGTAAATTAACATTTTACTTATTTTTTTTTTAAAATAACTTAGTCATTTAACGTTTTAAAGCTCTATTAGTTTTTATAAAATGACCAAATTAATATACAGTCAAAAAGCATTTTGAAAAGAAAAATAATTGGAATTGGTGACTTCTCAACACCTTATTAAGGAATATTTAATGAAAGGGCTAAATTATAAATGGAAATAAAACCACAAGGATGATATATTAAGCCTTTTAAACTAGAGGGATTAATTAATTATTTTTTACAAATATAGAGACTAAACAATAATTTACTCTATTATTAAAGAATGCCGGGCATTTTCTGTCCAAGGTTCAAAATATGCAACGGGATAGGCTGTAATTAGATATCACAACAGACCAAACTCTCCCTCTCTTGGAGTAAGGATTTGCAGCTTTCTTGCTTATTCCTAAACCTATTTCTGCTCTTTGTCGCTTAGCTTTCAATCCAATCGGTCCTTGCTTCTTACCAAATTCCGATTCCTTCAGAGCTGGCAATTTTGAAGGTTTGAGGGGAAAAGAGTTCTCCTTTCCAGACAGCGTAGTGGCACAAACTCAACTAAGCTGTTGAAAGATCTCTAAATTTACGATCAAATTCAACTAAAACCCTAACCTTGTATTTTTATTTTTTTTATTCTAAATCCAACTAATCCCCAATCTTTTACCCTTTTTTTTTTTAAGTTTCGAACTATCAAATCAAAACAATGTTTCCGCCTCCATTAGGCTGCCGCCTAGTAAGCCCTTAAGGATCATGTATACAAGTGTGTCCATTCTCTCCCAATTTACTCCCAAAAGCCATATCCCCTGCCAACTAATTTATAAGCAACAAACATCCACAGGAAGGGGGAAAAAACCGAAGGAAAAGCGCGTGGCCTTTCAGTTCGCTGAACTGGGTTCAGTCATGGCAAATTTGGGTCATGAAGCAAGCTATGAAGAGCTGCAAAAGATGAATTCGATGCCGACGCTGATGGGTTCATTAATTTGCAAGAATTCGTAGCGCTTAACACATAAGGGTGGATACAAATGAGGAAATAGAGAATCTAAAGGATGCTTTGTCTGTTTATGATATTGATGGAAATGGGTCGATTTCAGCTGAGGAAACTGCATAAAGTGATGGCTAGATTGGGTGAGCCTTGTTCAATGACCGAGTGCAGAACGATAATCATTGGGGTTGATAATGATGGTTATGGGTTGATTGATTTTAAGGAATTTAAGATGATGATGAATATGGGTCATAGGTGCTAGATGGAATTCGATGGATGCTCTAAAAGGGATTGGGATTTGGGAGTTAGCTGAAATTTCTACACTGGTGTTGATACGTGGGTTCGGTTTAATTTCAGCAGCAAAGTCTGTCCTTTATTTCTGTTTTTATTGTATTTTACCGAATACAATGCGTACTGTTTGTACAATTTATTTGGTCTCGTGCTTCTTAACATTGTTCTTAACTGGACGGAAGCATTATGGAGGTGGTACATTGCTTGGTAATTTGAGGGACCAAAATAAAAAAATTTAAAGATCAGGAATTTGGTTGGATTTGACCAAAAGTTAAGGGTGTATCCAGCAATTAGCCTTACATCTACTGAAATGAAAACATTCGAAGCATTTTTAATCCACATAACTCAGATTTCTAGCGGTCACCCGTCAAGATTTCCAAAGTGTATCGCCAAAACAACTCTCTAAATCACCGCTATCTCAAAGAATGATATACAAAATATATATGGAGGTCCAACATTTCCAAATTCTATAATTCTCTGCAACAATAATAATTACAGAAATAAAGAGCTAACATTCAATAAGCTGAAACATGTAAAGAATTTAACTAGAAGCAGAAATTCTCTGGCTCCTAAAATTTTTTGTTAATGTGCTAGAGAAAACTGCCATCTATTGAATTGCTTCAATAATTTAAGTATAAATGAGCGGTGGAAGGGGAAGTGGAAGGTGAAGGGAGTTATGGACCACGAGCTGGGGCGAAACACAAACAGCCAGTTGATTGATCTTCAGGTAACATGCCACCCCCCTTGCTTGTATCTATTGCTTCAAGTAGCCTAACTACCCCGTCCATCTCAGGGCGCTTCTCTGGATTTGCATCCCAACATTTTCGCATTACACTTGCCAATGAACTTGGGCAACATCTAGGAATTTCTGGCCTCAAATGCTGTCAAGATCGTTTTCAACATTGAATTACCAACATAACATGGTACGTTAAAACTGCAAACAGGCTAGATTCTAAAAGGGCAATATCCAGTACACAGCCAAATTAACAAAATAAGATAAATGGGGTTTCCTGCAACAGTTATCAAAATATAAAAGCGAACAAACCTGTCGAACAACTGCAGATGAAACTTCCGCAAAACTAAGATCAGGATAAGGCATGTCACAGCAATAGATTTCCCACAAGCATATACCAAAGCTGTATACATCGCATTTTCTGTTGTAAGGTTTGCCATCCAGGACCTGGACGATTACTTTGTTGAAATCTTTCATCAAAATTTCAGGTGGAGGGAAAACTACAACAAGAGGAAAGGAAGAGCAGATACCTCAGGGGCCATGTATCCAAGAGTACCAGTTTCCCCAGTCATGTCCCTCGGGTTCTGAGCCTCAACTCGAGCAACACCAAAATCAGCAATTTTCAAAGTTCTAGTAGCATCTAACAACATATTTTCTGTCTTAACATCACGATGTACAATCTTTTCAGAGTGAAGGTAGCTCAAACTGCAAAATTGATCGAATAAAAAAAAAATCTATAAATAAACATCGAATAACAAACATTTTAATTGAAAATATGTACTTACCCCCTAGATAAGTCCAAAGCAAGTTGAATCACAATCTTAAAGGCAAGTTTCTTTCTCCTATTTCTGATTAAAAATTTCTTTAGCGTCCCACCTGGAAGGTACTCAACAACAACACAACATGCCCTGGAAGGAGGAGAATTGACACTCTCGCTTGAAGAACTTTTGGGAGGGATCTTAAGATTGGAAGTCCCCATTGAAGCTCCAACAAACTGTATTGGACAATTATAGTCACAGATTTTAAGACTATGATACAATGGCAATGGATCAAGAAAGCAAACAATAACTTGGAGTGATTTTTTTATCAATAGACAGTAACTGCAGAAGGCATCAAGCCATTGATTGTTGGAGGAGTACTCTTTACCTTAGTAACATTAGGATGGTCAAGCTTGTGCCAAACAGCAACCTCTTGCTTGAATGATACCCGGAGAGCAGCAGTTTCAGCAGCAGTGGCAATGCCATCCTCCCCCCAGTCCAATACCTTCACTATAATTTTTAATAGTTGGCAGTGAGGACTTTGCCGAAACATATAATTTGCATATATTGAGTGCTTGTTAGGTGTTTTAGGCTGTTATAACAGGTTGGGTGGCAGAGCAGACAATTCACAGTATCATCAGTTATCTCATTCCAATCATTGATACACAGCCCAAAAAACAAGGAAAAACTTAACCAAAGTTGTCACTCAAAGAGATAAAAAGAAAATTTAAGCAAAGATGTTTAAAAATACCGATAATTGGTTCAATAATCTATGTCAAAGCTCACGCCTTACTGTTTAATGATAAAAGTTTTTCGTTCATCTTATCTAAAAGAGATATAAACTAAAAGTCAGCTTTCCAATTCACCACTGAGCCGTGATGCTTCTGCATGATCTTGAAGCCTCTCTGCCAAAGCACTAAGTACAGGCAACAACTTTTATACGCTCTCAAAAACACAATTTAGGCCAAAAGAAACCCCAAAAACATGTGCAATGATACACATACAGTTGCAGCAATAAAACAACATAAGGTACATGGCACAGCAAAAAACCATGTGTTTTGGAAGTTATTGCCTCACGTTGCAGTCGTTAATAGTAAACCTCCTAAGGCCATGCCTCAAAGGGAGAGGTAGTCACGAGATCTATAATACCCACAGTTAAAACTTAAAAGCCATACTCTCTCTCTAACATGTGAACCTTTTATTCTGTCCCATAACACAAGCGCTTAAAACATATGGTCAGACTTGACATCCTAAATTCTCTTGCAACCTTTTTACTTATCTGCATATGAGAGATTTATAGCTACCTATTATCTATTAAACACAAACAAAATATTTCTCAATTTCATTTCAAATACTCGTAAGGAATTCATTCATACTTGTGCCACAAACAGATAGCAGGGCTAATCCCTCAAATTATTGAAGTTTCTAGAATTCAGTGCTTCAAAACAAAAAAACATAAAAAGGAAAGAACATGAATGCCAAAATTAAATAAAAAATTTCCAAAAGGGAGCTGGAACAGGAGAAATATAAATAAAACTGCGTTACCAGCAACATCTTGGCCATCATAATTGCCTCTATACACAGTCCCATAAGTCCCATGAGCAATAACATGCCTTATATCCAATTTTCCCAAATCAATCTCCCACTCTTCCTTTCTTGTTGATTGCACATCCCTATCCCTTGACCAAGCACGGCTCAAATGCTTCTCTAGCTGAATATCCCAGCTCTTGAAATCTATTTTATCTGCTCTAAAGTACAATTCTTTATTGCTCATACTACCCACTTTTGAATTTGAAGCAGTTTCTGCTTCTTGATGGGTATTGCTTTTCTCTTCCTTCATTGCCCTTTCTGCTTCCTTTCCGTTGCTCGGTTCCATTTGTTTTGTTTTTCTTTTTGAAGTTTAAAGCAGAAAACTTTTAAAATTATCAGAACAAGAACATAGTTACCACCATCAAAATAATAAATAATATAGCTAAACTCCAAAATTTAAATCATGAAAATAAGTAAAAATAATGATAATAATAATAATTTCTACCCTTTATTTTTTAAATTCCAATTCATATTTGTCTTCGAAAAAGTCGAAAATTAAGGAAAACTATAATTTATAATAAATAAATAGAAGAACTAAACAAAAACCCCACGAAAGAGAAGAAAAAAGGAAATATATATTGCAAAGACGAAGAGGAAAAGAGAGAGATAAAGAGAGAATGAGAAAAGTAGGGTTTTGTGGAGGAGAATTTAAGAAGGGAAGGAAAAGGGAAAAGCGCCCAGCAAAGAAAAAAAAATTGTAGTTTTTTGGAGAGACGAGAAAAAAAGGAAAAAAAAAAAAAGCGAAGAGGCGCGAGGATTGACTGTGGCCGGAAATAGCTACGTGACTGTTTCAAAAAATCAAACACTTTTTCAACTTCCTTTTTTTCATTTTTATATCCATGGCTGATTTCTTACCTGTCCCTTTCTTTTTTTGACGGACTTACCGGTATTTTAAGGATTTACCATGTCATCCTTTTCTTTTCTTTTCTTTTTTCTTCTTTTTCGGTCTGTCTTTTGTGGCAAATTTGGAGAAAATTATAAATTAGTCCCTCTCATTTTAAACAATAATTATTTAGGCCTCATATTTTGAAATTTATTTATAATTTAATCCTTTTTAATTTATTTTGATTTTTTTAAGAAATAAAAAAATATGGAATGAACGATGAGAAAATAAGAGATTTCATGAAGTAAAAATAATATTAAATTAAATATGATCAATTCTGATTAAATTGCCAAATAATTATTTTTAAAACAAAAGAGGCTAATTGATTTATTTATTAAAACTAGAGGGACTATTTATAATTTAATAGGCAAATTTGCTCTAATTTTATCTTTGCTTGCTTTTTTTTTTTTTTTTTCTTCTGTTTCTTTTACCCTTCAACACTTATTAAGGTGGAAGAATGGAGTAGATATGAGATGAATATAGCCTTTTTATATGCTAACCAAATCGATAGATGATGTGCAAATAAAATATACTATATTTATATGAAGATAACAAGATATATTTAAATTATGATGGATTACATTAGCATGATAAGTAATTAAATATATTGGTAATATTTTAATCCAAATGCGATTTTTTCAAAAAGAAACAGATAAAAATTTCAATAAATGTGATTTAAGAAAATAAGATCATGAAATCAAATATCATTGATGCTTGTAGAGTAATTAATAAATATTTTTCATAAATTATCTTACTCAAAATCTCTTTGTATTTAATTACAATATTATTGGTGTCACAATAATAAGATAAATTAATAAAATAGTTACAACTAATCTGTATACATAAATACACTAATTATTTATTGGAAAGACTAACGAGTTACACACTAATTATTCATTTAGTTGTATATTTATAAAATCTATTAAAAAGTTAACCGAAATGAACATGTTGTATATATATAAGTATATTCATGTAAATAAACTTGATGGAGATATATTTGATATTCGAGGGATATTCTTGTCAAACCCCAAAAAACATAATTTACTTGACATTTCAATAAAAATATAGCTTAATCGTGTAAATAGTTATGCTTACATATCCAATATTAATTAACGATTAAAATATGGTTGTTAACGTATGTTTTAGAAAGAAAAGTAAAAAGCGTTGATAGATATAAGCTGAATTTTATGTTAAATGATGCAAGGATTGACTAATGACTTCTTTCCGATAATAACGACTTTCTAAGAGGTAGGGAAGGCAAAGGTCAAAAAGCCACGGCGTCTTCAACACCACCCATTGAGCCGTAATTGGAAAAGACAACGTTTCATACTACATTCTATACAGTAATATTTACTAATATTTCCAAACTTAATTCTATTGGCTGGATGGCAAGATGACGAGGACTTGAGAGATAATAAATCATTTGCACTATTTTTGCCACTTGCATGCAGTATCTTATATATATAATTATATATAAAAGAAAGTAATATATCCAATTATATTTTGTCTTGTCTGACATCCTCTCTGTGCATGTTATGTATACTGTAAAAGCAAGCAAAACTTCATTATAACATAATATTTTATGTAAAATTAGAAACATTTCACATTCAATGTATAAAATGGTATGAAGAAAACATGAATAAACAAAACGATGGAGTTAATATGGATTGCAATGCCATAATTATATGCAAATTGACACCTCCAATCCTCCACCTCCACCTATTGGAAGTTAGAACAGCCTCAAAACGCAACGAAAAAGAAGAAAATCACAGTTGACATCTGAAATGCACGTCCAAACAATGCAGTTATTGATCAGTAAACTTTGTGGCAGGGAATTTTCTGCACAGAATATTCCCCACATAAAGGAATAGTTGGGGAGAAAAGGAATTCAGGCTCAGTGTTCTTTGGAGCTTTGACAATATTGCAGGCGTTAGCGTGATATTATATTTAAGATTGAATAAGTCACCATTTCAATTATTCAAGACAACACCCTTTAGTCAGCTCTATTAGACAGGAGATCATTTGGTGACGCCTAATCTAGGAATTTTCTTAGCCACCAGGGAAGGAATTTTCTTCGAGAAAGTGTAATGGATCTTTAACTGTGTCTGTCTAGACTCTAGTGTCTAGACAAGCCAGTTAACATCAGAATTTACGCCTATTCTAGGAATTTCAAAAGGTGGCCACCTTCCCACCGGCTGCTTACTAATATGCCATGGGCGGCTCAGGCATGAGTAAAAGCCACGAGGAAGCCTTGTTACAGAAGATTAACACGAGAACTAAAAGGACTGATTGACGATAATATATATTGGCTTTCTACGCCACGAGGTACAATTTGACCTGCCTCACCGCGGACCTATTGGATCCAAGAATAATTGTTAAAATCCCTATTTTTGAACAAGTAAATGTTCAATCTAATATATTTATAATGTTTTCTTCACTGCATATATATCAAGTGGTTTGAGAAAACACACCCACCAGGTTAGGTAATTGTTACCTTCATGTTGTCCGTAGCAGTCATCATGTAGATGAGAAACAACTACAAAACGATTAAAATATAAGTAAAAATTTCGGCCAACGAAATAAAAATGTTATGCTTGCTTCTGTAGTGATCATGAAAGTTTAATTAACGTTCTCACAACTTTATAGTCTTCATTAATTCGGTCAAACGTCCCAAATCCATAAAATTTGAAATGCCCTGATAGATTGATACAGTCCATGTCACTAGGTAAATCTAATGGCGAAAAGCATAGTTTTTGAAATTTCCCTAGCTAATAGCTAGGTTAGCAGTAAGAATGGCCCGTAACAATTTTTGACCCTTGCGTAATTTAACATTAATCAAATCCATATTCAAATCATAGAATCTGTTTGTTACGCTAGATAGCATGGCAAGGGATATCACAAAGTGTCTTGTAGATCTATTTGGTGCACATATGGGACGGAATAAGAGATGTATTTTCGTCATATTCCATGCTCTAAATTCTGTCACATGGGAAGGAATAAGAGACAAATTTGAGCCGTCTCCCAAGACAAACATGTTCTCGTACTATCTACACTCATTTCTGTTAAGTTCGAAATTATCCTTCATTCTTTTGGATTTTTATTTTTTTTCCACAAATATTTTTACGAAAAAAATAAAAATATTTATTTATAAAAAAAATAAAAAATTAATAATTTGGAAATAATTCAAATAAAAAAATTAATAATTTTTAAATAGATAAAATAAAACATAAAATAAATATTTAAAAATAAATAAATAAATTATTTTTTAAAAATAATTCTATAAAAAATAAAAAATAATCTATTTATTAATGAAAAAATAAGAACTGACTAAAACAATATAAAATGGTTTATGTTTTAATATAAATTGATTATAAGACTTGACCACACAGTTAAAAAAGAATTAGACTATTATTTTTAAATTTTTTTACATGAATAATATCCTAATAGCATGTTGTTCCATTTCTCATATTTACCAAACACAAAATTGAACAGTTGTTTAGTGAAGTACAATGTGCATCAAACAAGAAATAGAATAACTGCTACAATGTGAATCAAACCAGAGATAGAATAGCTACTTCTTCTGTCCTATCCAGTCAGTCTAATCCCATATCTCTTGTTCTGTTCAATGTACCAACTGCAACCCAAATTTCTTTTTCTCATTTTGAAGCACAAAACCTAATTTCCTTGAAATTAGACCATAAGAAGATTTCTCCTTTACCTTTAGCCTAGCTCAAGCATGAATGAAGCTTAATAGATTTACTATACCATAAATCTTCTGTTTAGATTTGAGTATATGTGTTGAACTCTACATGGGATGCATAATTCCTCAAATTAGAGTCGAAATGTGCATATCTCAAATACAACAACAGTACCACAGAAATTTTTATGCGAGCCATATTTTGGTAACTGAACAATTTAGAGAGGGTTTAGTCTTGGTGTGCAGAAACTAACAGAAGATACCTCTAGCCAAGGGGGAAAAAAATCATGAATTTTATTCTGAAAAAAGGTGAAATTTATTTATAAACCACACCGCAAGGCCACCTTTTCGCAACGAGCAAAGCAATTCAAGTATTCAACTCTGCATGCTAACACAGCCGGAAAGCATGGCACAACAGCAGCCTGTTTGATGTCTATTTTGACTAGTAAGTTGTCCAAGAACATCTTCAGACTTATTCTTCAGAAAATTGCATTACTTTCAGACAATCCACTCATCAAACTCAGAATTCACGCCACGTACGTATTTGTTGGAGCTTTGACAGTGTCAGCAATAGTGTGACATCGTACTCAGAAAAACTAGAAAATTAATAACATTAACGGGCTGACCTGCCAATCCGTGGACTCCGTGCAAATCACATCTGCTCAACAAGATGTTTTCCTTTCCAAATCGTTGCAACTTGCAACAT